AATGAGTTTCAGAGATTATCCAGAAGGGCTACTCTATCCCCTTTATTTCTATCCCACCTACCCACCCCCCATCCTCATCCCTCTTCAGGGTCCCCTCTCACCGGTGGTGGATTAATGATTTTGTCGCCCCTTGGCCCTGAAATAATTCCCCCCCCCCCACAGCAACTCCCTGCCCCAGCTCACCTCCACTCCGCCTCCGCCTCCTCCCCTGAGTGTGCCGCCAGGTCCTGTTTCTCCCCACTCCCTGCCAGTGTTTGTGCGCAAAAGAGATTCGCGAAGGAGGGGGGAAGAGGGGGGAACGCGACGCGTTCAGGAGAGCAGGTGGGGCTGGGCCAGAGCGGGGATTTGGGGAAGGGGACCATAGGGGCAGGGAGGGGGCACGGAAGGGGTGGAGTTGGGGCGGGGCCAGGAGCAGAGGGCGCGAACCGGTGCCAAGGGAAGCAGCCTCTGGCTGCTTTTATAAATTTGCCACCCCTGCACATTTGCCACCCTAGGCCTAGGCTTTGTCGGCCTAGGCATTAATACGCCACTGCCTCTCCTACATACCTGTTACAACAGCAAATAAATCACCTGGTACGATTAGGTGCCATGGAACCTGTACTATTACAACACAGGGGGAGTGGTTTTTATTCACATTACTTTCTAACTCAGAAAAAGACCGGTAGGTGGAGACCCATCCTGGATTTACAAAAACTCAACAAATTCATGAGAACACAATGTTTAAAAATGGTGACTCTAAGCACAATAATTCCAGCATTAGCGAAAGGAGATTGACTCTCAGCCCTGGACCTTCAGGATGCTTATTTTCATATTACTATCCACCCATCACACAAAAGATTCCTGAGATTCACCCTAGGGAAACAGCATTTCAATATCTTCATTAATGATCTGGAGGATGGCATGGACTGCATCCTCAACAAGTTTGCAGATGACACTAAACTGGGAGGAGTGGTAGATACACTGGAGGGTGGGGTAGGATACAGAGGGCCATAGACAAATTAGAGGATTGGGCCAAAAGAAATCTGATGAGGTTCAACAAAGACAAGTGCAGAGTCCTGCACTTAGGATGGAAGAATCCCATGCACTACTACAGACTAGGGACTGAATGGCTAGGCAGCAGTTCTGCAGAAAAGGACCTAGGGGTTACAGTGGACAAGAAGCTGGATATGAGTCAACAGTGTGCCCTTGTTGCCAAGAAGGCCAATGGCATTTTTGGATGTATATGTAGGGGCATTGCCAGCAGATCGAGGGACGTGATCATTCCCCTCTATTCGACATTGGTGAGGCCTCATCTGGAGTACTGTGTCCAGTTTGGGGCCCCACACTACAAGAAGGATGTGGAAAAATTGGAAAGAGTCCAGCAGAGGGCAACAAAAATGATTAGGGGACTGGAACACATGACTTATGAGGAGAGGCTGAGGGAACTAGGATTGTTTAGTATGTGGAAGAGAAGAATGAGGTAGGATTTGATCGCTGCTTTCAAGTACCTGAGAGGGGGTTCCAAAGAGGATGGCTCTAGACTGTTCTCAGTGGTAGCAGATGACAGAACAAAGAGTAATGGTCTCAAGTTGCAGTAGGGGAGGTTTAGGTTGGATGTTAGGAAAAAAATTTTGACTAGGAGGGTGGTGAAACACTGGAATGCGTTACCTAGGGAGGTGGTGGAATCTCCTTCCTTAGATATTTTTAAGGTCAGGCTTGACAAAGCCCTGGCTGGGATGATTTAGTTGGGGATTGGTCCTGCTTTGAGCAGGGGGTTGGACTAGATGACCTCCTGAGGTCCCTTCCAACCCTGATATTCTATGATTCATTTCCACCATAGAGTACTACCCTTCGGCCTATCCACTGCCCCAAGGGTTTTTTTCCAAAGGTTCTTGCTGTCATTGCAGCTCACCTGTGCAGACATGGAGTAATGATATTTCCATACTTGGACGACTGCCTCATACTGGCACCAACACAGCAAGAAGCAATAAACACCACACAGAGCACGATAACACTTACAAACCTAGGATTGCAAATAAATGTGCAAAAGTCCACATTGGTTCCTGTCCAAAAGTTTGAATTCATAGGAGCCTGTCTCAACTGTCTGACAGCAATAGTAACGCTACCCCAACAATGCTTCCTCACCCTCGTCAACCTAATTTCAGTGGTGAGGGAAAGCCCACAAACATCCGCCAGAACATGTTTACAACTCTTGGGGCACAAGTCGGCAACAACATTTGTTGTTAAGCATGCCAGACTCCACATGAGATGCTTGCAGGCCTGGCTTCGAACAGTGTATATACCACACAGACACTCTCTCAACAGATGCCTCATAATGCCACGCAGAGTAAAAGACTCATTAACGTGGTGAACACAACCAAAGAACATCTGCTCAGGAGTCCCTTTCCAATAAAGAACTCCAACCATGACAATTACGACAGACGCTTCCCTAATAGGTTGGGGGGCACATCTACTCAACAATACAGTCCAAGGCTGCAGGTCCCCAGCGAAGTCCAACCTACACATAAACTTATTGGCAATAAGGGCAGTCCAAAATGCATGTGATCACTTTCTCCTTCTAGTCAAGAACAATACAATCGAGATCTTCATGGACAATATAGCATGCATGTTTTATATAAACTGCCAAGGGGGAGCACGATCATACTCCCTATGTACAGAGATGATACGCCTTTGGAAATGGTGCATCACCAACAACATAGAGATATCGGCATCGTATCTGGCGGGATGTCAGAATACAACAGTGGATGTACTAAGCAGGGATTTCTCACAAATGCATGAGTCATAGATGGATCCTGAAATTCTCAAATCCATATTAAAACAATGGGGGTTCCCCACCATAGATCTATTTGAAACAGCTCAGAATGTTGAGTGCCCACAATATTGCTCCAGAGTGGGATTGGGATACCACTCCCTAGGCAATGCTCTTCTCATAAAATGGGAGGCACCACTGATGTATGCATTTCCTCTGACCGCACTCCTAAGATAAGTCATTCACTAGATCAAGCAGGACAAATCCAGGGGTCATTCTCATAGCGCCCACATGGCCCAGACAAGCATGGTTCCCATACTTGCATCAGATGGCAAACTATCATAGAATCATAGAATATCAGGGTTGGAAGGGACCTCAGGAGGTCATCTAGTCCAACCCCCTGCTCAAAGCAGGACCAATCCCCAACTATCCACAAGCTCCATCAGAGTACACTTGGCTGTTATTACTTCGTTCCATAAAAAGGTGGATGGGGTCACCATATTTACTCACCGATGATTAAACACTTCCTTAAAGGCATTGAAAACACTTATCCCACAATGATAAACGCTACACCCATGTGGGACCTCAGCCTTGTTCTATGAGGAGTCATGGGAAAGCCTTTTGAACCCCTTGCAACTTGCTCTTTGTTGCACTTATCCATGAAAATTGCCATCACATCCACCAGATGGGTGGCAGAATTAGGTGCCCTAATGGCACACCCACCTTATACAATATTCTTATAGATAAAAGCACCTCCCCCTTTCATTTAAACCAACCCATTTACTTATCTGTATTTTTTCCTAAGCCGCATACGGATGGAAAGGAGGCCTCACTCCACACATTGGATGTTCTCAGAGCATTAGCTTTCTACACTGAAAGAATAAAAACATTTAGAAAATCACCTAGACTATTTGTTTCCATAACAGACTGCTCGATGGGTCAAACCATCTCAAAACAGAGACTAACCAAATGGATATCAGGATGTATCCATTTGTGCTACCAAAACAATAATCTACAGCCTCCTCCAGGAGTTTGCACACATTCCACCAGAGAAATGGCAGTATCTGTGGCCCTTTTCAATAACATCCCTATCACTGACATTTGCAGAGCAGCTACCTGGGCATCAGTCCATACTTTCATTAAACACTATGCTTTAGAACAACAATCCGTGTCAGATGCTCACTTTGGAATTACTGTGTTATGCACCATCAACAGTGCAACTTTGAAGCCCCTCGCCTCCACTGAGGGGCACTGCTTCACAGTCACCTAAAGTGGAGCACCCACAGGGACACTCCTCAAAGAACAAGAGAGTGTTACTCATCTAGTGTAGTAACTGAGGTTCTTCAAGATGGTTGTCCCTGTGAGTGCTCCACTACCCTCTCCTGCCCTCTACTTCAGAATTTCAGGCCGATTATCTGAGGTAGAGAGGGAACATGGGGACGATCGGCTGTGCACCACTATGTACCCTGCTCGGAGTGGCACGAGATGGCTACAGCACGTGCGCAGCCCAACCAGGCATTGCTACCACAAATCTCCAATTACAAGCACAGGGCATCAAAACACCTAAAATGGAGCACCCACAGGACAACCATCTTGAAGAACCTCAGTTACTACACAAAGTGAATAACCTTGTCTTCCACTAACCTGTTCTAGGTCCCAACATAAATACTTACCACCTCTATGAATAGATTAGCAAAAGAGACCTAGAATCTTTATTCAAACAGAAGTAGTACTCAAGACTCTGTTTCACTATGAAATAGTGATTTTCAAGAAGAGCTCTAAATCTAGGCAAACAGAGGGAATTTCTTCAAATTTCTGTTTGCAGGTGTGGTTTAGGGATGTGAGGTGGTTCAGTACATTCAGTTTTATTGATTATGAGGGATTTAGCCACTGTTTAATGTGGAGTGTCAATGTGTATGTTAGGTATGGGAGGAAGTTTTGCATCTGATGCCTTTAAAGACCCTAGTCACCATTTGTGGAGTTGTCAATGAGGTAAGAAAGGTTTCTTGAGAGGTCCCGGCTAATCCTTTGATCTAACACTCACCAAAATGGAAGGATTCTCTGGCTCCTACTTATGCTTTCGGATCTAGAGACAAAGCATAGCTGCTCAGCTCCAAGACACTGATTCTGCTTCATCCATCCAGAACCACCTCTGTTGAATCAGAGCCTTTGTTGTGAAAATCTTCCCTTCTTTAGGTGCAACCGAACACCAAGGCCATTCATATTGATCAGTCTCTCTCCTACTTCCCAGGGTTCAGGGACTCCAGTTTCTTCACATTTGCAAGAATCTTTCTACCAAATCTTCCCCAGTCATGTGGGGAACAAATTTGTCAGGTATGGGCCCTAATGTTCAATTTACTGTTTATGGCTCTTGGGACATAAGACTTCATTTTCTGTCTACTTGATGTCACGTAGGAGCATCCCTAAAAGAGTCTAGCCAACAGAGAGGCTTAAATTGAGATCTAGCTAGCTGAGGTTCATTCCAGAAAGACAGAGATTATTATGTGGAAGGGCTCCAATACATAATCCTAAAATAGATCAATTTAGAGTCCATTCTATCAGAGGAATAGTCCCCTCCAAGGCTCATCTCCATAATATATCCACATTAGGTTCATTTCAGTGTTTTCCAAGAATGTATCACACATTGGTATCTGAGATACTGAGGTTATTGTCCCTATTTAGACAAGGAAGTAACTTGAGTAGCTAAGATACAGGTTTATAGTAACTTGTGACAGATGTTGACTTTATTGGCTGCTGCTGTATGTCTGAGATTTGTAAGGCTTCAAATCACCATTTGTAGTTAAATTTACACTTTTATTCAGCAATGTTCTCTGATTCTGAAGCTAAATTGGATGTTTGTTTGAGCAGGCAGCCTTCTTGAGTTAAACGTTCCTCCAACCCTCCCCCTGGGAATGGCTTCTGTTTGCTACCCTCCTACAGTGGAGTTCTTCAGGAAGAAACAAAGTGTACTTAGTAACTGAAATTCTCCAGAAGATTGTATAATTACACAGCTGTATTCAGGGGGGGCATTATGAAGCTAAGAGCTTTGAGAGGGGTTATGTCTTGGGAAGCACAATCCAGGCCAAAGCTCCAGGGAGAACTTGGGGATTGCGCATGCTGCACTTTCCCTTAGGATAGTACAGCATTTTCCTTTATCTGTGTCTAGCTGATCCACTGGCCAGCATGTTGGTGGGGAAGGCGATGTCTCTTCTCTCTTTGAGGTGTCTTGCAGCCCCAGAATTACTAGAATCAACAGGTCTTGTGGTGCTTCCTTAAGTGCAAGGTCTGTGATTATCACTGGCCCTTGCATGGGGGCTGGGGCAAAGCTCCTTGTACCTTTCCTATTTCCATCCATCACATGAGGGTCTGGGTACTCTAGCTCACTGCCTCTGCAAATCCACATTTACTCTCCATCCTTCTCTGAATCTGTGGTGTATTATAGCTAGTTTAGATGAATTCCAGATATGCAAAAAAGATTCCCCAAAATAAGACAAAATTGTGCCCTTGTTTGCACTTGTGAGGAGGAGAGGAAAAGGGTAAGGACATCCTCAGACCCTCATTCAAACAGGGATGTGCAGACTTTTGGATGGTAGGAAATTGTGCTCCATGAGCTCAGCTAGGGTGACCAGATAGCAAGTGTGAAAAATCAGGACAGAGATTGGGAGGTAATAAGTGCCTATATAAGACAAAACCCTGAATATCAGGACTGTCCCTATAAAATTAGGACATCTGGTCACTCTAAGCTCAGTAGACCGCTAGTTAGGGGAGTGCTCAGCTAATGCACCAGCCATGTGCCCTAGAGCACTGTCTAGCTCCTAAATGCTTGTTACAGCATATGCTGCTTTATCAGTAACACTGCTCAGCAGATGGTCAGCACACAGGTTGTTCCTGCTCAAAGGAGTATCAAAGTGTACCAGAGAGTTTTTTCTTGGTTTTCCTGTTGAATCCAGCTCTACTCTTGGTTTCTTTTTGCAGAGGATACATCTGCCAGGATCCTTCTACCTTGTCAGTCCCATGGAAGGATTTAGCCTGATCGTCTTTTTTGCGGTCAGACTTATTTTGCCCTGTTAAATATGGACATGAAATCCAGAGCTTTATAGAATGTTCATTGTTGTTTACAATGACAATGAAGCAAAAGTATCTTAGCCTGCTTTAAAAGAGCATATTTTGAAGATCAGTGTTCATAATTGGTTTTTAAAATATATAACGAGTGCTATTCTCCTAGCTGGCTGTTAGCAGAAAGAGTGGATCAACGTACTGGGAACCTATTCATTATACCTAGCACATTAACAACCTTAGGGCTTCCAGAGCTTGTATACACTTTGAGAAAAGACTGTTTTTGTAACCTGTCATTTGCTATTTAAGGCTTATTTTGTATTCCTTGAAATCATCAAATGGCATGCTCTCCTAAGAGTGAAGAAATGGGTTCAGTCGGAAAAAGCCATTTGTTAGCAAATTTCTAATTAGGAAGAGCTGTCTGAACATGAGCACACTGATTTTTCACTTTTAAACAAAAGGTAATAAAGTATCTGTTTGCACCATAAAACACCAAGGCAGTGACATGCAAAAGTAAAATAGGCTACCTTCAAACGTCTAAAATTCATTACACTGTAATATTGCATCTTTTTTCATAGCTAATAATTTTGTTGTGTGTATTTGTGCAGGAAGAAGCACTCCATAGATTTCGAGTGAGTGATTATTTAGAATACATGGAAAGCTTGGAGGCAACCTACAGGCCATTGCTGTTGAGAGACATGAGGAACATTTGAATGCAGAGCACATAGATCAAGCAAACAAGCATTTCATCTTCAAGCTTTAGATGAGTTCTGAAAGTGAATGCTGATTGTTTTATATCAGTCTCCATAAAAATTCATGCTGTGGAAATATACATATGTTAAAATCAATAATAAAGGTTTTCAGAATATAAGTTTTTCAAGGGGACATCATCTGAACTGGATCAACTGAAAAATAAATAATTTTTCCAGCCATACTGAATGTATTGCCTTATTTTTATTTGGTAGATTGCTTGAAAATCTGCCCTTAGCTAACTTAGGGGTCTTGTTTGTATTCTCTGGAAGCTGTTCCCAAACTAATACATTTTGGTCATCTCCTACCCACATCATCTTACCTAAAACTTTAAAATTCTGCACAGGTCTGGCAATAAGAAGCAGTACTGAGAATAATCACTTGGGTATCCTGTATTTATGTGAATGGGGATGAGCAAAAGCAAAGCAGCTTTCCTGTATGCAGCTGATCTGACCTTGTGATTTGGCTGAGGAGGAATAGTTACATCCAAGTGGAACAAGGGATTGATACTGCCCTCAGCCATAATGATTTTAAAAATATGTTTATACCATAAATGTATATTTGTAATCTTGTATGCTAATTTTATATTCTCAGAATGGATAAATGGGAAGGCAGATTACTAAAATATGCATTATTTAGTGCAGTCATTTTATTGATTGGCTTGATTGTACATATTGCCATTATATAAAAAACCTTGCACCAGTAAAAGCAAGATAATTCTGAGGTAAATAAATGATTTCAACATTCTTAAATGTGTGTTTTGGTGTGTATAAGCCTGGGTTTCTGAAACATAAAATAAGTCAAAATAACTTTGTTATGTATCACTAGTACAAAAAATGGCAACTAATCTAAAATACTTTTTGCAAAACAAATTTTCATTAAGGTTCATTTACTTGTTTTATCTTTTCTGTTCATTGTGACTTCAGATAGTTAAAATACTGACTTAAAAACTGGAGTATATAAAAATAATTCCATTACAGTGTAACCTATAGTTCTGTTATTACACTAGCATGGCAAGTCTATAAAAGAAAATTCAGTAAGTTAGCTTGACATACTGGACTTTTTGCCCCAACTGATATTAATTTAACAAAGGAGTCCTAAAAATGGTACTAAAAGCACAAGAACTACTTTAAAATTACATTTTCCAAACTTGTTTCCCAATGTATAATATAAGTTTATGGTTCCCTTTCTTCCCATTATGCTGGTGAGTTATTGTATTTGATGTAGAGAATCTTGCTGTGCTTTGTTACTGTTTTTAAAAAGCTGCATCACAATAACAGGAAAAACTGAATAGAAAAAAGGGGCTATAAATTAATTTTGAAACATCGTCTCCCTGTCTTGATTGGGATCTGAAGAAAGATGAAGCAGGTAACAATTACACTGCAGAAATCTGAATTCATCTTAGGCTGAGAGGCCAAATTTTATGTCACCAGGGAAAGTCTTGTGACTAAATATACAACAATTTGATTAGTTGATAACAGTTGTAAGCTGTGCCAACTGGGAGTCTTTTCACCTTAATTTTGTACCATATACAATCACTGATTTTAACAACTGAGTCAAGACCAAAAATGAATGTCCAGTGGTTTCTTGGATTTCTAAGATTTAAGTGCCATGTAGTTATGAACGAAGGGTTGTGCTTTCCTGGAACAGCAAAGGAATTGGATTTTTAGTCCTTACATTCTGGTAAAATCCCAAAGGCTCTCACAGCTGGGATGCTGCCCCAGGTGTCAAAGGGCGGAGACAAAGCAGAGCACTGTTCAGCTGCTCCATTGAATTTGGGATATACAGATTTGTGCTCTGTGCAGACTCAGTAGCAACAGCCATTGCTCTCCACCCTTCTTGCAACTATGTGGGTTACTCATGTCCATAGTGAACATGAGATTATAGAGTCTCCTTTGGCTGGTTCTCCATTGCCTTCCTTATTAACATATTAGAAAGATGGTATTTTGGCTACATCTTGCCCAAGCATGCTGAGAGAAGATCGGGTGCTAAATGTTCATTTTTGCTAGTGCGTATATAGGTGATGTGCTCCTGTCAATATTTGCCCACTTTTATTACACAGTGAAATCTAAGAGAAGAGTTTTCTCCTGTACTTACAGCAGGAAATGACTGTGGGGCAAGCTAGCAAATGTTGACTTATCAAAGGCTAAGTAAGTGAGTACACATGTATGTGCTTGCATATGCAGAAAATGAACTCCAATTGGAACTTCATTTATGATCATCAATAGGAGGAGGTCATTATTTTATCTCATTTAAATTCAGAAATGTAACTTGAATGGACTAATTTATTCCAGATCCAATAGTTTGTATCTTGTTCCAGTTTTCCTTCCCTGACAGACACCTATTAGTCTTATAACTGTGGATGATGTACTTACCTGTTTACCTCCAAAAAACTGGTCCCTGCTTTAGCAGAGTGAGGGCTGTGTGCATTTGTGATCTCAGCCACAGCTATTTATTTATACATTGTAGTTTTGAGCACTTGTATATGCATTCTTTTTTCATTAGACATTCCAGAGACAATACAGAGCCAGTAACAATTTTGATCAAATTGTTTTGTTGGAGGCTAAATACGGCGTAAATGCAGAAAGGTTATTATTCTTTTTTAAACATCATTTTAAACACCAAGACAACTAATGTGAAACGTTGAAAGATGATCTGGAGCATAATCAAATCTTTAAATCCATCAAACCACAAGGAGTCAGACTTGAGAAAACTACCTCTGACCCTTTACAAAGTCTGTGCTTCAGCAGATGAGAAGGAGACATCTGCTACTGACTTTTTCTTGGCCGGGGTTATGGTCAAGTGACAAAAGCTGCTTCTCTTCATTTAGAGGGACTTCACACCGCAGTTTCTCCCCTTCAATAAGAAGCAGCATCACTCTCCATCTCTTCTTCAGGATGGAGAGAAATCTCATCAGAAGGAGCTTCATCTCCTACTGCTTCTCATCAGTGATAGGACTACCAGAAACCATCACGTCATTGGTGAAATCTTGTTTCCACTGAAATCAGTGGCAAAACTCCCATTGACTTCATTGAGGCCAGAATTGCATCCTGTCTTCCTTCATTGACTTTGAAGAATTGGTTTGGGAGACAATTATGTGGGTGCGCTTGGGAAAGATTCCCAGAACCCTCTTTCCCCTGCCCCTTCGCATAAGCCATAATCTGGCCCTAAAAACTGGAATTTTTTTAAAAAGAAAGCAGTACAATCTTTGTGCACTAATTTCAGTCACCTTTCTGAAGCGAAGTCTTGCAGCAGTGAGCAGGATGTTGAGTCAATAAGGAATATTAGCAGCTAGGTGACAACATGTTCCAGCTGAACACTGCAGTAGTCCCACTAGTAATTACAGATCAGATTTGTATTTCACTCAAAATGATTGTACTGTTAGCAAACAGGTGGGCATTCAGCTAAATCAGCAAAAGATTTAGATAGACACTGAAAAGATTAAGAGGTCACAGGATGATGCCATGTTGTCTATCAAATCTGTTTATCAAAATTTCAAGAAGAAAATTTCAAGTAGAAACCTAACCTTTACAATACCTGGATGGGCTACATTGACTGTGAACTTTAAATGTGGATAGACAGTTCAAGATAATTGCGTACTATCTGCCAAAAATCAAAACCACAAAGAGAGAGAATTCAGTATACTGCAAGAGACCAAAGTTGTTCTTATGCCACTATCTATTACAGTAATGTCTCAGAATGGAAGAAAAATGATGTGGCTTGTCTAAGTCGATCTGTGTGTGTGGCTAATGTCGGCACCCTATAATGAGGTTTTATTCCCCATTTAAGTGATGGATTGTGTGTGTGTGTGGTGGCAGCTTCTATTGCTGCCATTCTGAATGAGGTCTCTTTAAAATAACAAGAAGGCACACATTATGTCTGATAGTTTCCACTACATTTTCCTTTTTGCAATAAGAAATTTTAGTTAGATTACTGTGCAAGAGTATAGAGGCTTTCAACAAAGATTTTCTATTTTGATAGGTGCAAGTATCCAGCATAATAGTTCACCCTTAAGAAAACAGAAATGTTGGGAACAAAGGGCATGCTATGGTTAGTTCCAGCAGCAAAGCAATATAAACTACCATAGTGCCTCCTTGTATATATAGGCAGAATTACCGGGTGAGATGGGGTGCTCGGGGAAGTTTAAGTTAGGGAAGTACCTGGTTACAGAACATGTTGCAATGCACTAAGGGATTGCCACCTATGAATAAAGCTAGCTAGCTAGGTGCACAAATTAGGTGTGGCTACATCAGAATTTTTTTAAAATTGAAATCTATGGGGAAAAAAATAAGCATCTCAGCTCTATAAATACTGTCTGTGCTGTATTTGAGGTTACCCAATGTCATCACAACACTTTCTCATAATGTGAATGAAGAAGTACTGTCAGTTTGGGGACAGTTAATTCCACTCGTAATGGCTCTTGTTTTTTTGCCCTATATTTCCACTGGTGTGAAATGAATACATACATATGTACACACTCAAAGGTAAAATATTAACATACTTGCATTCTGTAGTGCTGGGTTTTTCAGGTTTGGGGTTTTGGTTTGGTTTTTTCTACATGTAAATTTGAGAATGCTCCAGGAATTACTGACATTTTCTATTGATACTTCTTTTTTCTGTCTATAAAAATGTGTTTGATAGGGGTTGCTTAATAGAAATTGAAACTCTTAAACTTGATTAAAATAGTTTGTCTTTCTTAAACTGCTGGGTGGATTTCACACATTAGTTATGTGTACTGTAGAGTGAAATAAAAGAATTATGGCAATAGTTAATGCTACCACATATTTATCAAACCTATGTTTTCAATGCTAGTACTGTCTCTAATTTGATTTTAAAAGTACCTAACTTCATTGCCACAGTGTTCAATACCTATGCCAGCTAGCAAATGTCCAGGCAGTTGTTGAGTGCTAGGCTCTTAAAATGTGTATATTTAGCAAACTTGTGCATTTTGGATATATTGAGGATGATAGCTATTTTATTACTCATCAATTATATAACAATTAATTCACATATCATTGGCAAATATGCAATACAGAAATTAATGTCTCCTGCCACAGGCATTGGGACACCCAAGGGACTGTTACCAGTTTATTAGTAACCACCCCCACGCACAAATAATGGGCATTGCAAAGAGGTCATTAAAACACCATTTATACATAAAGCCACCAATGCAAAAACAGCTTTCAGCATCACCATCACCACCACATCTTCAAATCATCAGGAATAATAAGGTTTATATATTCAAAGACAGCTGCTCGTAAAACATAGTGGATGACTTGAAGGAGTTAAAAGATACAGTACTTCAAAAATACATTAAATAATCAGAAAGACAGGTGAAGTGTGAGTACAGAGTACAAGATTCAGGAGTTCCTGAGTGCCAATGCTAATTCTGACAGAGTCCTGCCGTGTTGCCTTGGGCAAGTCAGCTAACTTCAAATTTCCCCATCTGTAAAATGAGAACAATAAAAGTCATTTCATATGGGTGTTGTGATGATTAATTAGGGAATATCTGTAGAGCACTCAGAAAATGAAAAGTGCTGTATAAGAGCTAAGTATTAATATCTGACAGTATAAAATCAAAAGGATTCCCCAGCACCGTATGAATAAGACGCAGCACCACTGACATGCATGCAACTATGGGACAGAGGGAAGCAGAGCTTGAACTAAGGGGAAAAACTGCTGCTATGTCCTCTAGGCTATGATCAGCCTAAAACACTCCTCCAACACCAGCTGTGCCATAAACATCAGAAGA